TGACTGCAGACATAGTTAGGTTACATTTTATCATTTGTATTCCCTCTTGATCCATTTTTAATTTGTTCTAGTTTCTATTATCTTCTGGTTTTACTTAGATTGAGATTTTTCTGTTATTTTTTGTCATTGCTATATTTTTTTTGGTTTGAACTTTTTTCTTTAAAAATTTTAATCATTTTATTGGAAGCTTTTACAGATATCATAACATTCCACAGTTCAATCACATCAAGTAGTATTGTACAATTGCTATCACAATCAGTTTCAAAACATTTTCTTTGTTCTGGAACTCCTTGATATCAGCTCCCCTGATCCTCCCCCTACGCCCCAGGAACCTTTCCCCTCCCTATAATAGTGGGTTTTCCTCCTCATATCTTACACAATCCAATATATCCATTCACATACATTTCTGTGGTTCATCCCCTCCAATGGGGTTATACAGTCATTGATGCTAGCAACTCCTTATGCCCACCCCCTTTCCCCAGCCCCTCTCTTCCCCAGGGAGCCAGGACTCCTATTACTGTTTCTGAAGGGTTATCTATCTTGGTGGTCATATACTGAATGATCTTAAATATACAAATGAAAATCCAGGATAGATAAATGTATAGCGACAGTGACTAGATTAATTGTTTCTTTAGATTGGGGAAGGGAGGTTGTGGTGCAATGGGGAGCTAATGATGATAGATAAAAGAATAAAGGGAATGCTCTAAGATTATAAAAAAGAATCCCAAGTTGCATAACTCCCATATGGATGGAATATTAATGGTGGAAAAATATATAAATACATGGGGAAAAGTTATTTTATTAAATAGTAGATAAAGCATGAGGCCCAGCTGTATTAAAGAAAGTGTATCTATAAATAGATAAAAGACTAGCAAGAATATCCCTATATGTTTAGAGTGACTATCTCTGGCTGATAGGGTGTGGACTTTTAATTTCTATTTTTATTTACTGAAAACTTTAAATAACTAGAGAAAATACTCTTTAATGTAAATTATGTTCTGCTCTGTCCTTTTGCAGAATTTCTCCCTTTGTATATACTGTAGTTTTAATTTTCAGTGATGTAGGATGTACCTGAACAGGGTGTATCATTAACTGTAGTGGGCAGCAATTTGTTTTATTAAAACACCTACTTGCCCTTGATTTATTTTTAGTTCTGTCCTAATTTCTTTCAGGGATGTGGCCCATTCTACTTTACACGAGTGACAATCTGCACAAGCCTCAGAGAAGCACTTATGCAATAATCTGTGTTTTACATTGTTCTGAGTGGACAAAAGGTGTCTAAGATGGTAACATTGCTCCACTTAAAAGTACTTTAAAAATAATCAGAGACCAAGACATAAGAATTAAATCTAATTTCCTTTTGGGCCCCTTTATTAGCCAAGATGAGTGTGCTATCCCTTCAGAGAGAGGCAGAGGGATGATGGGTTGGCATACCAATGTAAACCTTTCTCTAACATAAGCATTTTTACACTATTTCCCTGTCACTCAGAACAAGACCTGATGGAGGTACAGAGGAAATATTTAATTAAAGGGGGAAAAGGTATTCATTTATACAATTATCATTTACTTAAGGTATCTTAATACTTGAACTATAGCCCAATTTCTAAACTCTTAAAATAGAGAGAGCACTGAACCCGGAGGGAAGCTTAATGACTCACTCTATGATCAGAAACTGGGACTAGTACTTGGAGGTTGCTATCTCTCCCTTTCAGTCATCCATTTGGGGCTCTCCAGCCCTTCTTTCTTTTATTATGGGCACTTATTGAGACTTTTTTTTTTCTGCACTTAGCTTCAATGTGGAGCGAAGCAGGGCTCGGTCCTCCTGTAAGGATGTGATGAAGGAGAAATGAGCTCCTCTCTAAAAATCTGTTATTTGAGTCACAAAAGGCTTAAGCCATAGACCCCAGAAAGCCCTTGTTAATAGTGGTTGCATTGATACACTGATTTATCGATTTATTATATCTACTAACACTTAAGCAAGGATAATTTCTATATATTAGTCCACCAGGCATTCTGAGGAAGAAAGATGCTACAGTCAGCTCCCATAAAGATTAGCAGCCCAGAAATCCCTATAGGGTCACTGTTTGTCAGAGTTAATAGAGGTCATGGATTTCTTCCCTTTTTTTTTATTGTTATTATTAGGGTCTGGCAAGTCAGTTCCAACTCAGTGACCCTATGCACAACACAACCCATCACCGTCCAGTCCTGTGCCATCCTCACAAGTGTTCCTATGTTGGAGCCCATTGTTGCAGCCTCTGGTAGTGTATTGTTTATGCATTGGGTGGCTCACCCAAAGGTCAGCAGTTCAAAACCACCAGCTGCTCCTAGGGAGAAAACTGGGGCATTCTACTCCTGTAAAGATGGCAGTCTTGTAAATCCACAGGGGCAGCTCTACCGGATGCTGGAGGGTCACTGGGAATCCGAACCAACTCTACGGCAGAGAGTTTTACTTTTTAAACAATTGATGGGGGGAGAAAGAGGAGGTTACAGGCGTGTTGTGTGGGGACATGTGTGGGGACATGACTGCCTGGGGTGGGTGTAGAGTCTGATGCAAACCTCCCTGCTTTAGATTTTCAATTTCATTTCTCAGTTATTCATTTTCAAATTACCAAAAAACAAATCAAAGTGAAAGTAGGTGGAATATAGCCCAAGTTTCAATAAGTTTGCTTCATTCGTTGAGTTTTCCATGCTTATGGTATCTTAGACACATTTTGGAGGTAGGGATAACTTCGGGTCATAAAGAGCCACACCAATGCTGAATTAAAGACAATTTATACCTTTTATTTTACCATTTCTTTTGGATGATAAGCAAACTTTCTAGCGATTCTAGAAGATGGAAATAAAATAAAGTGGTGACTTTTGTAATAGAGCTGCTTCTCATCACATTCTGAGTAACATAAAGATAAGGTAGAGAGAGCCCTGGCGTAGAGGTTAGGCGTTGCTGGCTGAAACCAGCAGCAGCTCTGCAAGGGACAGGCAGGGTTTTCTACTCCCCAAAAGTTACAGTCCAGAAACCGATAAGCGCAGTTCTACCCTGTCCTGTAGGGTCGCTATCAGTCGGCATGGGCTCTATGGCTGTGAGTGAGTGTGATTAAAAGATGAACCTTCCTCTAGTTCTTAAACGCTTCCTCCC